AAAATTCATTTTATGAAACGCAGATTGTCATGGTAATGGTCTTTACATTAGTCTACCATGAGATAATAAACTCTCTATTGTTATTTATGAACATTATCTTCATATTTTATTTGCAATTGGAATTTTACACAAGTATTAGCCAATGTTGTAGCGTACAAAATACAAATGCAGTTATGGAATATTATTAGGTTAGCTGCACGAATTGACAATTTATTTTCATTTATGTCTATTAAAACATTTTATAGTTCCTTTCCTTTTAAAACATGCAACAAGTGAGCCTTGTAATGCATGTTACCTTTATAGAAGAGTCGAAACCAATTATAGCAGAGGTAGAGGTCATTCATCTATGTTAACAGTCAATGGACACTCAGTTTTAATGAACCATGAAACTTGATTGAAAATCCTATTTTTATTTACGAAATTTAAATGATGCTCTAGAATTTATTAAAAAATAAAATAATTCACACTATATTATACCTTAATTTGATACAACAAGTTTCATAAATAACATTAAAAATACCAACAATTTTTTCATTTTTGTAAGTTTCAATCATAATTTGCATGCGGAACACAGAGGTTCAGCTTAAATCATTGATGCTAGACCATATTGCAGCATACCTATAGCCCTCTTTATCCAAACTACCTCAAGGTTTTGCTATGTTTTATATATATATATATATATATATATATATATATATATATATATATATATATATATATATATATATATATATATATATATATATATATATATATAAATTACCATTATAACCCTAAAAAAAACTCTTCATCAAGTTGCAGGCAATGTATTTTTGGTAATCTTTGTGAAATCTGTTATAGCACATTACCAAAAAATTAAATTTAAAACAAAAAAGAAACAGATCCAGGGCGCCTAGTTATCAACAAAGAAAAAAACTTATTATTTACTGAATATACGTTGAACTTTTTAAAACCATACAGAGCTAAATTTATTATTATAAAAAATATTTAAAATGTTGATTAATAACGATTATATATATCAGTTAAACTTTTAAGGAGCAAAAGCAGTTTACATATAGGGCGTGTTCGACAAAAGTAGCTGGTAGCAGGTATCTTATAACAAGAAGCATATAGCTTGTAGTTGGTAGCGTTTTGTTAAACGCTACGTGAAGTAACATTTGGATTTTGAACGTTTTGTTTAAATTAAACGCTAGAAACTTGTAGTGTCGAATGAGACTTTTTGTAAAGAACGGAGCGTTTGTCAAAAATTAAAAGCTAGAATCTCTCAAGCGCTCCTAAACGCTTCGCATCGAACACACCCATAATACCATATTCTTTTTAATTTTCTCAAACTCATTTATCCATTAATAAGTATCAAAAAATAATAAGTTTGATGGTTATTTGAATAATTAACAAATACTCATCCGACGTAGCTAAATCTTTAACATTATTTTCAATAAGATAAGATTTAAATACACGCACACACAGCTTATTAAATAATAATAAAAAAAAACATTTTGTACAATTTTCTCTTTTACGATATGTCGAGTGATCATTTTCTGTTAGTCCTGAACATTGTATAGGCATATTTATGTTATTATAATGTGTAAAACATTTTAATTACATTAGTTGTTTTAAAATTTTGGTCTATTTACCTTCTGTTATATAAGATCACTAGGCGAATGCCCGTGCGTTGTGTGGGATATAAAAAAAATATTTTGTATTAAAAATAACTAAACCATTGTTATTAACAATTAAATAATAATTTCATAAAAAATATAAAAAATAATTTTTAGGTATTATTATTATGTTGAACTATATTATAAGAGATAAGGTTGAAACCTGAAGTTGTTTTGCATATACAAAGTTATGTGATTAAAATAGAAAAAAATAATTTTTAAAAATAAATAAATCGTTATTGTTATCTATTAAATAATAATTTCATATTAAATTAAAACATTTATATTATATATTATCATTATGTAGAAAATACGATAATACGATCAATGTGGGATGAAGACATTTGAATTAAACTCATTTCTTTATTTGCCAATAATTTTATTTTGTTAAATAAAATATAAAATAATAAAAATAATATATTAAATAATAAAAATAATATATTAAATAATAAAAATAAATTTATTGTTCAATAGTTTCATTTTTCAGTAATCTCGTAAGTTGTTATAAAAAATTAAGTTTTTATTGAATAACTTTTTGTTAAATCCTAAAATCATAAATTTAGTTAGGTACTTAATATAGAAAGTTTGTTTATATGTATTTTCATGATTCAAAATGTCATTATAAAATGAATTCATTTATAAAATATAATCGAGTATACATTTCGTGCTTTTGAATCAAATTGATTTTTCAAACAATTATAATTTTATGTTTAGGTAGTTTTTTTTTTTTTTTTTTTATTTTATTTTATTTTATTTTATTTTATATAACATTATGTAACTTATAATATTATTATAAACAATTTGAATAATCATGGGAGTTTCAAATGTATGTAGTGAAAGAAAAATGCTTCATTTATCGGTCCAAATTGATCAAACTCGGACCGATTCAGCCTAATATACCAAACTACATAACATTTTTTCTATTAAAACCCGGTTTGTATATATTTTGTGTTTTTGAATCAAATTTATTGTTCAAACAATTATCATTTTATGTTTAGGTAACTTATTTATAATATTATTATAAACCGATTGAAAAATCATGGGAGTTTCAAATGTATGTGCTGAAAGGAAAATGCTTCCTTTATCGGTCCAAATTGATCAAACTCAGACCGATCCCACTCAATATACCAAACTACATAACGGTTTTTCAACTGAAACTCTCTTTGAACCTAAAAAATCTTGTTCAAAACCATTTTCAGTATTCTAAAACTTAAATGGACAGTTGCCAATAAAGACAATCCCACCAAAGAATACCCTCAACATCCTAAAAATGTAGGCATAAGGATGTTCTCATGGTTTGGTCGCTTTGAAACATTTCACAACCTTTCCTATTTATAGAAGATGACACGTTCTCTTGTTTCCTCTCACCATCGATGTGGGATGAAGAAATTGTAATAAAACACGCTTTCTTGTTTATAAAATATTATTCAACTTATTTAGTAATTCATTCCATTTCTCTTGTTTACCCTTTGTTTATGGTTCAATAGTTTCATTTTTCTATAATCTCGTAAGTTGCTATCCAAAAAGTAAGTTTTTATTAAATAACTTTTTGTTTAATTCTAAAATCATAAATTCAGTTAGGTATTTAATATAAAAAGTTTGTATGTATGTATTTTCAAGATTCAAAAGTTCCTTATAAAAAGAATTCATTTATAAAATATAATCTGCGTATACATTTCTTGCTTTTGATCAAATCGAATTTTCAAACAATTATAATTTTATGTTTAGGTAGATGTTTTTCTTTTATATTTATATAACATTATGTAACTTTTTTAAAATATCATTGGAAACAATTTGAAAAATCATGAGAGTTTCAAATGTATGTAGTGAAAGGAAAATGCTTCTTTTATAGTCAAAATAGATCAAATTCGGATCGATTCAACTAAATATACCAAACTACTTATTTTTTTCTAGTGAAACCCGGTTGTATATATTTCGTGCTTTCGAATCAAATTGATCTTTCAAACAGTTATAATTTTAGTTTTAGATAGATGCTTTTTATATTTATATAAAATTATGTAACTTACTTATAATATTATTATAAATAATTTGAAAAATCATGGGAGTTTTAAATGTTTGTTGTGAAAGGAAAATGATTCCTTTATCGGTCCAAAATGATCCAGCTCCGGTTCAACTCAATATACTCAACTACATAATTTTTTTTCTAACTGAAACACAGTTTAAACCTGAAAAAATTTAGTTCAAAACCATTTTTAGAATTCTAAAAGTTAACTGGATACTTGCCAATATAGATAATCTTACCAAATAATACTTTCAAAATCCTACAAAGGTAGGCATGAGGAAGTTCTCATGGTTTGGCCCCTTTGAAACATTTCACAACCTTTCATATTTATAGAAAATGAAACATTCTCTTGTTTACTCTCACCATCAATGTGAGATGATGATATTGTAATAAAACACTCTTTCTTGTTTATAGAACATTATTTAATTTATTTATAATATTATTGTAAAGAAATTGAAAAGTCATGGAAGTTTCAAATGAATGTGGTAAAAGAAAGTTAAAAAAGAGGGTTTCAAATGCATGATATTCAAGAAAAAAATACTAGTTTTATAAGTATGTATGATATGCGAATTGCATATAGTTGACGTTTTAAAATTAGACACTACCTAAAAAAAGTTTCACATTCTTCAAACATGCTAAATTATTAATGGCAAATCTCAAAGCCAGAAAAAAAATACCTTCAATAATTGGGTTGGGCTAGTTTTTGCTTTAACGGGCCACAATATTCAAAACAATACCTCAATTTTCGAAATTTAGGTAGATGGCGTTGATTATGTTTGTTGATCATGTAACGACCTGATTACTTCCGTTGGCGAACTTCTGTATACGAATGTTTATTTTTATACAATTATTTCTGTTTTGAGATTATATAATGATATAAATTAAAATAAAAATAATAGTTATTAATATCTAAAAGAGTTATATAATAATTAAGAAGAAATTATTTAATTAAATAGTTTTATGGAAAAAAAATAAAGCAAATATAATTCATTAAAAAGAATATAATTGAAGTTGAGGGGCTAAAGGGTTATTAAAAGAAACTTAAATTGCTATGTTATTAGGGTTAGGGGTGTTTGAAATTTAATTACGACACTTTAGGGATCAAGTTGCAAAATCGGATTAAAACTCCTCCATGGGCCATGAATTCAATCGACGTGTTTAGATTAAAGGGTTCGTCCGTTTTTGGTTGCAACATGTTCGTGATCAGAGGAGAAAGAAAGAAGCGATCTCGAATGCAGGAGCAAAGAAACGTGCGAGTTGAAGCAAGCAACGATCGTTTTTTTTTTTTTTTTTTTTTTTGTTGCGTTGTGTCGATCGGCGGGAGAGGGGCTGTGAGCTCCAATTTGTGGTTCCAATCGAGTCTACGAATCTGATCATTCCCGTTGGTTAGTCTTTAAATTTCTTCCTCACGTTTTCATGGTTCAATTGGTAGAGATTAGGTAAAAAATATGAAGCTTTGGTTGTGTATCTTTGTTCCATTAATCTCCTTCATTCCACCTTCCATGCTTGTGATTACTTGTGAGTTCGATTATGGTGTCATAATTCATATTTCGTTTACTAGTGAGTCTCCATTTTCATAGAGTTTTGATATAATCACTAGTGAATTGGTTGGAATTGTGACGTCCAATTTTATTTATTATTATTATCATTTTTTTTGTGTGTGTGTCATAATTCATGTTTCTTTTACTTACAATTCTAGTGACTTCATGTGTAATGATTTCCTGCATATAAGACCTTGTTTTGAACCATTCAAAAGGCTTTCAAAACAGCCCCAAGTGTCTTGATATTTGGTTGTTTCATAGCAAAAAGATGTCAACATCTAGTTTGAAAAGTCTTGAAATTCTTGGTTATGTCTTGTATTTTTCTGCTCAAAAACCACATCACGAGGGTTAAGTTAATGATCTTATTTTCATGCAATACTTATCTAAAATTCCACCTAAGAGACATCCCATATATGTCTCAATTTAGAGCTTAATGAACTCTTAAAGAGTGGATGTAGAGTTATGTGTTTGGTATGATTATAACATTCTCCTTTTAATCATGCCTTAGTCATTTTTTTGGTGTTTTTATTAATTACTCATTTATTAATATACTTGTTCAAGGCCAAAGGGGTGAAATTTTGGATAATCCTAACCCCTTGGCTAAAGCCTTAACATGTTTGCTGATTTTGGCAAAATTACAAATCTGAATAGATTCGTTGACCTATCTTGCGTGGCCTGTAGAGGCCATTCTGGTCCGAATTAGAGAGAATCACTAAAAGAATAAAATTATAGGAAATCGAGTCTAGTTTCCAGAAAGTCGTATATCATCCCATTTGAAGTTATATATTATGTTTTATGATCCAAACACTAAACATGGGTCTTGGCTAGAATTATTTAAAAAAAAAAAAAAAATCTAATACAAAACTAATATATAATGAGCTAAATTTGTAGAGTTTGAATGCACTTAATAACTTGACGGTATATGTGATTAGTTGAGGTCTTGAAAACTTCATGGGAGCTCAAAACTTGAAGTTAATAAATGATTCGTCAAGGCTAAGGTGAGTTAGTAGCTTTACTCACTAAGTGTGCATAAGTCGAGAAAAACATTTCATATATGGATAATTGATCAACTTAATGTCATATATTACCATTATTGTGTATCTATGTTTTTGTTTGATATAATTGTATGCTAGTTGCCATTCTTAGGGTGTTTTAAATTGATTATCTGATCATATTTTGATGAGTATGATGTTTATGATATGCTAGCATGACTTTGGTTGAAAATATGACTAGTTAATTATGTTTTATTGACTTGTTGACTTTGATGAATATTATAATATTGGTTGATTCTATGAAATTGCATGATGACAAAAGCTAGCAAAATCAAATGGCCAGAAAATCACAAGGTAGAAGAAAACGAGAACAATGGAAGTCTTGATGTTTTATTATCAATAAAAAAAACCTCCCCTGAATGTGCTACAGGGAAAAAACTTATAACCCTGGAAAAAAAAAAAGACAACTCAACTTTCCAAAAAAAAAAAAACTCTTAAGATTTAGATTAAAGATATATTTTGTAAACAAATATTATCTTCCACTAAATCTCTTATTATTTTAACGTAATTCAAATAGGAAACAAATGAAGTAAACAATTGACCAAAACATAAAAAATTCAGCCAATAGGAGGCTATGATCGGGTGCTACTGCATCATTGCATGCATAATATGATACTTTATGGAATTGTATGGGTTGATGCGTAATGGGTTTGGGTAGTGAATAATACTTTGCCTAAAACATTATCTGGATACTTAGTGTTGCCTAATAGGTTGAAAACAGGACCTATAGGAAAGAGCTTAAGCCATTGTGTTGACAGTCGCCTGGTCTATCTAGAAGATCCCGCAACCCATGATATACATACACTATAACCACAATGTTCGTAGACTGGAGTGGTGTGGTCCTATGGTAGAGGACTAGTACAAACATCATGTTGGATTAGGAAGTGTCATGGGTGTGCAACACCATTGGTACCAATCATGAACGACACCACAAAATACTTGTCTTTCTCACAGTCGGAGTAGCAAAAGGGGTGTCTGGGGTCAATGTTTCAGGTGGAAGTCATGAGTCATTTAGAGCATACAACAATGCGGGCACACGATTAGTGAACTATGTAGCTCCTTTCTGGTAGGATGTAGTGAGAGACTAATGCCTATCGTGTGATGCCTTTATTGACATGTGATGCCTTTGTTGATATGTGATGCTTTCATTGATATATGATGCTTGTGTTAGTATGTGATGACTTTGTTGATATGTGATGCCTTCGTTGATTTGAGATGTTTTATTAATTTGTGATGCTACGTTGATCTGTGATGTATATGTATGTCCTTCTTTGATTGTATGCAATATTTATTAACTCACTTAATAGTGGCTAGCAATTGCTACTTTTACTTTGTGTCATGCAATCGGTATAGGTATCTTAGGAGCTTGGATTGGTGAGAGGGGTTGCCAATGGGTAGTAGATTTTTATTATCAATACCAGTCTTGGACACGTTTTTTATTATTTAAATTAAAGAATTTTTGCTTCCGCTACGTTCTAATCGGTTTGGATTAATGTTTTGAATTTTGAGGTAACGTACGTTGTGGTTTGAAACATTTTCAAATTAATTAAAAAAAAAGTCTTTCGTTGTGACTTTCAGGTAAAAAGGTGTTGAAATAAATGAACTTTTCTTATGTTAAAAATCATCTTCAATTTTCCGACGTTCTAAGCAAATTTAGTATCTCAATCTGAGAAGAGAAATTGATGGTTCGAGATGTTACACGAACTCCTACTGGCCTTGTTAGGCTACACTGGAGACCTAATTATTGACGAGAGAGAATGCCAAGAATCTGTTGGTTTGTCGCCGAACGACTCCATTTCTGATCAATGTACGTTTAAGCTTGCTCCTGACATCTCCTTTATTGAACCCGAGGAGAGGTATGTCTTATACCCTGATGCTCTCCCTTTTATTTTTGATTTGTAGGTTATTATACCTTACGTTGATAAATTTTTAAGAATTAGAACTATGAGATGAAGGTCATTGGGAAGATTGATCATAATCCTTTGGGTGAGAAGAGTGTAAAATGTGTAGTTATTTTCTTCTCCCTTACATCCTGGTGTAACGTTATGAACAGTTCCCACATGGAAGGAAAAAAGAAGAGACTTACAACCAACCTAAAATTGGATTCTATCCTTCTGTATTTAATGGAACAATGTGTTTGCTTATGTGTTGTATGAAATCCATAGTTACTATATTGTTCTTATTGTTGTAACGAGTGGTTGCTAATGAGATGCAGGGATATCATTGAGAAGCTAATCACATTGGGGTTTTACTACCGTGAACTCGATCGATTTGCCACAAAATCCCGAAATTTAAGCTGGATAAGGTCTAGGAACGTGTCTCCTTTATCACGCACTTCTGAGTTATCAAAAGAAGCTAATGATAATCAGAGTGTTTATAGGAGGGCTATTGCAAATGGAATATCCGAAATTCTTTCCATTTACAGATCTACTATTTTGCATATTGAACAGAAATTGTTGTCTGATTCTCTACCCATCTTGGCTACAATTACTCAAGGCCTCAATAAGGTTGCTATAATTTCCTTTTGTTTTTAGAGTATGTTCTTTAAAGTTTGAACCCTCATTAATGGATGGTTATTGTAGTTTCTTTTTTTCTTTCCGCCTCTTTATGAGCTGATTCTAGAGATCGATCGGGATGGTATCTATGGAGGTAAACTTCTTAACCTTCTACATAAACGATGTCATTGTGGGGTCCCAGAGCTTCAAACATGTGTTCAAAGGTATGATATCTATTATATATTATCTAAATAACTTTTTTTTTTCAAATGATGTACAATCAACTTTTTTATTTTTGTTGTAAACATAGGCTTCTTTGGCATGGACATCAAGTCATGTACAATCAACTTACATACTGGATGGTATATGGGATTCTTCATGATCAATATGGGGAATTTTTCATCAGCAGGTAATTAGTTTTTTCACATAGCTATGGTACAATGTAATAGAGTAGGTGAATTTATAAAACACGATGTTGGTTTTAATGTTTTTAGGCAACAACCAAAAAATCTCGAGCATGAAACGTCTCATACCAACAAACTACAAAATATTGCAAACAAATCTATTGGTGATGGATCTATAAGTGATTGGTACATGGGATTTAATATCTCCTTGGTATGCCATACTTTGTAGTTTATTTTTAAAAATCAATTTTACACTCAGAAAACTTTTTAATTTCCTAATTTTTCCTCCAGGAGATGTTGCCAGAATATATACCGGTGTGTGTAGCAGAATCTATTCTTTTTTCTGGAAAAGCAATTAGGGTTCTTAGAAATCCAAGTTCTTCATTCCAGTCTGTGGATGTGTTGTTTCATCAAACAACAGGTCCACAGACATTTAAAGAATCTTTAAAGAAGGAACACTCTTTGAACACAATAGTAGGAGATGAACTACTGCCACAATCAGAGGCTGATAAGATTGATTCAATGCTTAAAAATCTACAGGTACTTATTCATCTATATATATATATATAAACTAGCCGTTTACCCGCACAAAGCGATGACGGAGAATAAGTTTTTTTGGCAATATGTTTTTTTTTACAAAAATATTATGTTCCAGAAAAAAGTAAATATCAAGACTATAGAATCCAACTTTAGCGTTATTTTTAACATTATACATCAAATATCTAATAGAAATAAACTGTTTAATGTGGCAAAAAATATAAATTGTGTAAGTAGTTCAAACAAAAATAATAGAATTATATGAGAATAAATCAATGAACAAGCAGTCATCAGCAAAAATGATTTTCTATTAATATTTTCTTGTTAGTTTAGATTAAAAATAAAATTCGTTTTTATTTTTTATTATAAAGTATGTATCTTTTTCGGGTTAAAATAATTCTATATTATTATGATTTTCTATTAATATTTTCTTGTTAGTTTAGATTAAAAATAAAATTCGTTTTTATTTTTTATTATAAAGTAAGTTTCTTTTTTGGGTTAAAATAATTATATATTATTTTTTTTTGGTTAAAATAAGCATGCGTTTCTAATTTGGGTTTAAAAAAATGTTTTAGGTTAACTTTATTTAGTGTAAATAAATAGATTTAAAAGAGACACCCCTAAACTTAAAAATGTCATTTTATTTTTTAATTTCTTTAAGAAAATAACATATAATTATTATGAATCAAGTTTTTCCACGAAACAAAATATTATTAAACACACTTAATAGAAAATTATGTCAAAATAAAAAAAAATATGATGTAGTTTAAGGAGATATACAAACCATTAAAATTAAAGTAATGATATTCCATTTCATTGATTGTAAATATGGTACAAATGCTAAAAGGGAACTATTTAGAGATTGTATTTTACAAAAAATCATAATTTTTTTTTTTTTTTTTTTGTCATTTCACAAACCAAATAACATGATCATATGCTTTTCAACAATTGAAACTCTAAAATTTAATTAACAAATCATCGAATATTCTTTTTCACAAAAAAAAAAAAAAAAAAAAAAATCTAGCCATTGTTGTACCCATATTATAGTGATGTAATTAATGTTTTTAATGTATAATGCATCCTAAATATAATTCCACTATTATAATATTATACAATAAAAATAAAATAGAACACAGTAATACCAAATAATAACTTATTTGCCTAAACAATTGTTCTTCAAACAAATATGTGGGTGGTTTTGGCTCTTGTGACATGTCAAAAAAACATGGTAGAAAGATATAAAAAATTATTACAACCAAGATACAATATGAGAATTTATGGAAAACGATTAATTGTATGACCCTCATTTACTTAATTACAGCAAGACTCAATTCGATTGAAATGCTTTTCTACCACATGGTGCAACCACAACCTTGCATTAGCATGATGAACGATTAATACATATTTAATAATTGTCGAGAAAACATGATTAATATACATAAAAGGTAAAATATTACTCACATGGAAAAGGATTTTGTGCTAACTTTGTTTACCGATTCCAGAAGTGTCTCACCATTCTTTTACTTCTTGTGGACACAAAGCAAACACTGACAACAATTATAAACATAATCCTTACTTATTCTTTTTTAAATATTATGTCAAAAATTATTAGATTAAACTAAAAGAGAAATTGTGAACCAGAAAAATCTCTCTCCTATTAAACAAAACACACACAATTTATAAAACAAAAACACATTGGAAATCCATCACATCTCTTAAAGTTGAGATTTTAAACTTACCGATTCATGAATACATTTTCAAATTATAAATTTATTCCTAACTAACAATTCATGAACGATTTTATGTTGCTTAAATCCTTTAGGAAGAATTTGAGTAGAACCCACTTTATGGTAGAGACATATGAGTTTTATAAACCTACAAAAAGGTGACAAATTTGACATAAATGGTGGCACTCACAATAAGTTTAATGATTTTAGGAGTGCCAAGATCAAGATTAAGATCAACACACATCAACAACTTTGTGAACTCCCATTCACCATCAAACTAAGACTCGTGAACATCATTTTTTACCTGTATGGTCTTTTTACTTACATCAAAGCCTTCAAATAAAATATAGAAGAGGTGGATTAATGTTTAGAAATTACAATGAAGCCAAAGAAAACAGAAGAAATGATAATTAAAATGATAATCAAATGCAAATAAATGATAACAAACTGGTACAACTG